TTCGCCAAAGAAGTATTACATAGCCTTCGAAGCTTTGCCGTAATCACATAAACCAAACGGAAACAGACCTTACACAGATAACTGTCGTGTGGTTTGCCTATTCAAATAACCTAACCTAACCTAACAAATTATTCACTTGGGAAGTATTCAAATAAGGAACCACAAGAGAACTGCATTTTACCTGTTTGTTCAGGTAATCGATGCATAACAATAACATTCCCTATAGAACAGATTTCTATGCAACACAATGGCAAGAATCACAATTAACTTTTGTTCAATTTGTGTTTTTTTAAGGTACTATCTGCCTAAGGGAAGGGATGCCTTCATGGAGGAATTTTTAAGGGAAATTGGTTCGTATACACGTTACACAAGGGGAAAACCACGAAAACACCCATGCAGCCAGCCCGTTCGCGGGATTCGAACCGAACTACCAGTGTTCAGCGACTTTACCGCTCGGCCGCTGGTGGGCCTCCTTTGAGAAAGTAAAGAAGTCTCACAAAAAATGCAGCAAAGTATTTATATAAAAGATGGTATATTTATCAGAAAAATTACTTTCAGTTATTTTTAAGTTTCTTAACAAAGAAAAAAATAAATGCTGTTAACTAAATAAAATCCCTGCAGCAAGATTTTCCCTAAATTTCTAAGCTAATTCTGCCATTGCATAAAGAAAACAGGCAATATACACCTTACACATGGAGAAAACTACAAAAATGTCCATGCAGCCAGCTCATTCGTGGGATTCAAAACTTGGATCAAACTACCAGTGTTCAGCAACTTTACCAATTTGCCGCTGGTGCACCACTTGTAATTGATAAAAACAGAATTGGAATTTTTGATTGATTAATGTTTTCAGTTTATTTTTCTTTACCATGTTTCACTTTTTTTATATAAAAAAAAACTGCTGAAACGGCTATTTTTAATAATCTAGTCCTATTTAAAACCAAAATTTGCTATTTGTGAATGATTTAAAGAAATCAGCTACAGTGCAGCATTTAAGTTGGAATCTAAGAGTTTGGCATATTGTACACAAATTATTTTCACATACGAACCTCATACACTCAGATACTAAAAAACAGTGCAAAATGCCCCAAAGTTAGGATTTATCCAAAATGAAAGACAGAGGCAGAGTTTTCAGCACCCGGGGACAACTGAAGAATTTGGCTCCTTTCTATGTGCCAAAAATGGAAAACATTTCATTAAAAAATTTCGTAGCATCAATTTGGCGCCCCATGGATGCTGCACCCAGGAACAGATGTTCCCCCTTGCCCCACCCTAGCTACGCCACTGACTAAAGAGTTGCTCTGATGTACACAAAAAGCTTTAATAATATAAGTAACTTCAATAATAAAATAAATTGCCCTTTTTAATCAAAATATGTTCTAAATATATTTTTATTGCAATGTTTATTTGCATATTTACATATGAAAAATTACCTTTATTTTTATCAAAATGAATTTTAAAAAATTGAAATTTTGTTTGTCAGCATCCAAAAATTAGCACTAAATTATAGAAATTCACCCTATTTGCTTTCACACATAAGTACTTTCTGATTATCCAGAACTGCAATGAAAGCACCATTACATATTTTAATGGGCAATATGTAATATTTGTCTATTAAAATCTTAAGTTTCTTATACTGTAATATATACGGTACAAAGTCCAAGATCAGGATTCGTCAGGCGATTCTGGATTTGGGAATTTTTTGGATGTTAGATCATCAGTAAGATGTCATATGGAAATTATAAAATTAAGATATGAAATAATGAAGCACTTATGGACCTTGTGGGAATCAAAACTTACAAAAAATTTAAGTTCAATATCATTTGTTTGCATAACATCTCTTTCAAAGTTATTTAAGTTGCTTCATTTTTTACGCAATGTGTTTCTCTTAATTCTACGGACCAATCTTTCTTTTTCAGATAAAAAGTTCCACTATTTAAGTCCTTATTTCGAGAATTCCTACTAAATTGTTAATTGAAAATTTTTTATTTTCAACAACCTATTATCACTTTTTTTACTACTGGTAGTGATATTTTATGGATTTAGAACCATACTACAGATTTCGTTGTCTGTTAGTTACTTGATGATTGAAGCATTTATTACTGCAATAAAAACTTCTGTTTATCATCTTCATTCATTACCACTTCTTCACAAATTTAATTAATTGGAAAATTTTAACTTTTGTTTTTGATATCTGAAAACTTTCCAGTTTGTGGCTATCATCATTACCCTCATCATGAAATATGGTATCTGGCCATAAATTATACCAAACACTTCTAAAAATATCTGCAAACACATCCTTCCAGAATCTTACAGTGCTTCACAGAGCAGATTTTATGTTAAAATGTTTAAAAAAATTATTAAATTGTTTTGCCATTGCTCACAAAATTTAACACAGATTAAAAAAAAAAAACCCTACTTATTTTATATATGCATTTCAGTGCGTGAAGTATTCTGATATCCACAAAGTGAACAATGGATGTACAACAGGGAGAAAGAATAAGATGGATATATTTTCTTTTACTAAAGCTTTAAATGAAGTATGAGCCGAACATTTGTCTATAAGCAGGATGATTTTTGCATTAGGTAAACAACTGACTTCAAAAATGAAATTTCCAACTAATCATTCATTAATGTTTGTATAATCCATGCTCTTTTATTTGAAAGAGCTTGGTAGATAACGCAGAAAATCCTTACTACTTTAAATACCCGAGGTTGTGCATTTTTCCACTTACAAAAAGTTTACACTTGTGCATTCATACAGCATCTGTACACACTAAAATAATTAGTTTTGCTTTGGAATCTTTAACAGTAGCTGCAGCCTTTTGCAAAGTTTGTCAAGGTATTTTGGAGTAGATATTGCCACAGAAAAGACCATTTTCACCAGCACTGCAAATTTTGTTCTGGAGATAACTTTTCGCTCTTAATAAGTACAATGTATCATTCACCGACATGTTCAACTGCTTCAGTATCAGCTGAATATTTTAAAAAATATACTATGGTGATTTTTAAATTTGGTTAACCAACCAGTCGAAAATGTGCACTTTGTTTTTAAGTCCATTTGCTTAAGAAATATTTTGGCTTAAGGCGTTAGCATTGGCCCCATCAATGGCATGCTCTGCAGACAATGACTCACCCATTCAATCATCACTTTCAGCATACCGAACGATTTTTCTGTTATTCATTGTCAATGGCGTGTCGGAATCTACAAAAAATCCAAAAAGTTCTTTTTTCCGTCATACAATGCGGCCATACTCCTTGCATAATTTTGACATCTATACACCTTTATCCATTTTTTGCAGCAATTTCACTTTTTCCTTAACACACATAGAAACATGTTTTTGCTTTGTTGATCCTGCTGCAATTCTAGAATTAGAAACGCTCTTCAAATTAATCAAAAATTACAACTTTAATTTTCATAATAGTGCTGGAATAATAATAGCCTGCACAGAATAACAGGCTAAACCAAATTAGATAGTTATAAAACAGTAAAACTGGCTACATTAACTGAATTTAAACTCCTTGGAATCAGCAGTATCTCATTTTAGCCAAGCTTAATACTTAGCTAACATCCGCTACACACTAATGACAATGTATCATAAGATAAGAGAGTATAGGCATGTTTTCCTGCTAAATTTTGTTTTGCTTCTATTGCACACCGAGGAAGTTTAGCCTGAATTATATTAGCTTAGTTATTTATTATACTTATGTTTATTTCCTATTTGAGTCCCAAATAAATAAATTTTCACATATACTTAAAGCTTATCCAGGGCAAGCTCTAGATATTTTGCCACCCAGTGGATCTACGGATCTTAAATTCTGCTGCCAAGGGTCTCTCTAAATTCTAAAAATTTTGCATCCTAGTGCCTTCTAAATTCTAAAAACTTTGACATTCCTTAATTTTGTTGCTCAGTGTTTTTATACATTCTAGAAATATTGCTGTTCATTGCTGATGCTCTGGGCAATCAAATCAAGTTATTCTTAAATCCAAAACAAATCAGTTGTTCTTAATTCAAAACAGCACTAAATGTAATCTTTTGGCTTAGAGTATCATTAAAAATTTTTGTGTGCATAGAAAGAAATTTCTTTAAATTCTCCTTGTCAACACATTTAACACTTTGCAGTACAGTTGGTTAAAGTCTGCAATCATTGCAAAGTGCGATCAAGTCAATATAAAAAATTACCATGCTCATTGCCATTCAGATACTACTAATTTAATTTTTTTTTTTTATATATATATTGCTGTGTGAGCCATTTCTCAAACAGCCATGTGTTGATAGTCGCACAGTGGTGAAAACAAAAAATAATAAAAAAATTACTCTCCAGGTTGTCTTTAAGGCTATAAGTTATTCAGTAGGTGTAAAATCAGTAATGTTTCAATTTTAGATGTATACCTAGTAAGAAGGTGGCTATGAAGTCAAATTACTGATCATTCAGATTTTTGCTACTGAATGACTGGGTTCCTTTAAACATGGAGGTGTTTTATATACTGCTGAAGTGAAATTAAGAATCAGAACCCTTCACTTGTTTTATTACGAAAAAATATCAAACGTGCAAGTGCAAAGTATTAAACATACAAAAAAAAATTCCAAAAGGAAGTTAGTTATTGGTGGTCCGGAGGTTTAAATTTAGATTCTGGATATTGGACACATCTGGACCTTGTACTTTATACTGTATAATTATTTTATTTTATTAGCATAGTTAATAATATACTTTTGAATTACATTCCTCTGTAAAAGAAAAACCTATCTTTTCTTTATAATCGGAATTTTTGAAGATTGCTATCAGCTTTGGTTTCTGAAAAGATTACTAACTAAACTTGAGAAGCAACTACTGGATCAAATGTATATTGACTATGACTACTCACAGACTGTATGTATCACAATTTTTCTCCATAAGTTTTACAATCAATTTCATAAATCTAAGAAATGACTAACGACCAACTTATTTTAGAATTTGCAGCATTGCTATTAAATGATTTAAAAAAATAAAAAACTTACAAATGTGATGTAGTCAATGTTTTGGCATTTCGACTCTTTGTTATGAGACTTGCTTTCATTACTAATGATTCAACAAACAATTCTAGTGCTCGAGCTAAACTCAGTTAAGGAAACACTACAATAAGTAACATTATCTGTTAAGTATTTCCTACCATAAACAAGATATATATTTTATAATTAAATTTTAAAATACCAGTTTTAAAGGATACAAATAATTACAGGCACAGCAGCAGCAACTTTTCCAATTTCTTCATCTGTCTGCATAATTTTTTTTATGCGAGCCTGGAAACAGATACATTATTTTACAATTAAAATCTAGATTTTTATCATAAAAGAGCTAACTTCTAGTTGAATTTTAAATATAGTGAAGACTTGGTGTAATAACTTTCCATTTCAAGGACCAGTATAAAAATTGCCTTGATTAGTAAGATATAAAATCCAACTTCTTTACAGCTAACCCCAACCATGCATTATAACTAACACCATTTTTCTTTAGGTAAGAGGTTATTACAACAAGTATCAACTGTATCAAAATACATGACTCTTGACTTAAGGAATTTTGTTTTTCTCTTGCTTTCATAAAAAAAAAAAAACAAGCACTCTGAATTGTATTACTTGATTGATTCTGGAAACACATATGAACCAGAATTAAAGAGAAGGGCTAGCTCATTTCTTTGTGTGACTCCTCACCGACGCGATCCTCATAGAGAAGAAAATAGGAAATAACAGGGTTGTTCCTAGGCCATTGGCTGCCCGTATACTTTCTTAGGATTGCCGGCCCCAAAATAAATAAATTAATAATAATTTAAAAAAAGCTCAACAATTAATAAAATTTCTATTTCATATTCACTAAGTAATTATATATGACAAATTGTATAATATGTACTTACAATGAATTTAATATATTTAATCATGGTATCGCAAGAGGCCGGCCACACCTGATTTTTGCCGCCCGCGTACTTTTATGTGCTCCGTTTGGAACGACCTTGGAAAATAGTCTGATGTCACTATGTTGCATCTGCTCTGACTTAATTGTAATATATTATATTACAATTAATAAGATTTTAAGATTGTAGTTCCATTCTGTTTAAGATTGTAGTTCCATCCTGCTGTGAAGCGATACTCCAGCAATGTACTTTTACGTGCTCCGTTTCGAACGGCATTGGAAAATAGTCTGATGTCACTATGTTGCATCTGCTCTGACTTCACCTGTTTAAGATTGTAGTTCCATTCTGCTGTGAAGTGATACTCCAGTAATGTGGACATTCCAAATTGATTTTAATCGCTTATTTTGTTTTTTTGGTAAAGCAATATCAAAGTAAAACTAGCAGCCCTCAAAATTAATTTTTGCTGCTGGGGAATACATTTCCCGTAAATTAATTAGCATTATTATGACAAGAACTTGAAGAAAGTGTTTAAGATTTTAATGGATTGAAGTCCAGTTTTATGTTATTTTCATTAATAAAAATGAACATAACTCTTTGAAAAATCTACAAACAGAGCTAATTAATTTATACTGTGATATAAATCTTGTTCAAAGATTTTAAGATAAAAATTTGATTAACTTTTATTAGCACTTGTCAAAAGATAAATATCTTAAGTTATAGAATTTTTGCAATAAAAATATTCACTTTGTTTTGAGTACATTTACAGGAGAAAAGTTTTTTTGTAATTGAAAATTAATAAGTTTACGAAAAGAACTAGGCTGCTATTGAATATTTACAATTTGTGATGACACTTTTTAGTAAATTTCCCTCCAAGATTACAAATTTCTGGAAAATCGAAATGCCATGAGTTGGTGTAGTAAAAAACAAAGATGCTTACACTAATTTACATACATTTTTTTTTTTTTCATCACAGAAAAATCTAATAAATAAAACAAAGAGAATAGGCTGTCATCATTTATTCTCAAATTCTGTGCCTCTTGGGAAGCTTTCGTATATTTCTTGTTAATTTAAATTAAAGGTATGGTACTTGGTATTTCAATATATTACAATTAACTGAATAAATGGCAATATGAAAATTTTAATATTTAGCAGTCTGTTTGAATTCCAAATCGAGTACTTTTCCATTTTGCCAGCACAAGCGATAAAGTCGCCAAAAATGGTACAACCGATGCCAAATGGAATATTCTCACTGGTAACCTTTTACGCCTCATTTTCAAAACAAGTAGCAGCCAATTCTTATCAGATTGATTGTTTCTTTCAATACTGGCATACAATTACATAGAATTTTTACCAGATAGTTCAATTTTATGCCCTAAGGCCATTCGCGGTAATTTAAGTCAATTAGGATGCAATCACACCGCTCATCTGAAGGCAAAAATATAGAAAAAGCAAAGTCAAGGGTTAAATTCATCAATTCTAATGAGAATGCACTAGCGAAGTAAAGCACTGCGGTTTTACATAATTTCTAAGTAAGGTATTCGTACAAATTGAAATAATTCTTGCATTTACTCCAAATTAAGATTTAACTTGAAATTAATGTAGATAATTATTGAGAGATATAAATTTTTGTAGCGTAGTTTACGTGAGATGAGATCACTTGGGATCACGTGGTATGAAACGGTGATTCATGTTGTACCATGAAAGCATAGTAAATTCTTAAATTAATGTCTTTTTACAAAATTTTAAAAGATATTAAAATGTTTATGCCTTCAAAATAAAAAAATTCTTATAACTAACATTTGTTAACATTTTTTTATGTGTATACTGTGTGTTGTAGCCAATAAAGTCTGCTTAGCGAGATCTGTGCCAGCAAAACGGAAAAGTACCCCAAATCGTAACCAACAGAAATTTCATGCAGACAGCACTTTTTAGATTTCAGGCAAAATACAAGTACAAATTTGGTACTTTGCATTATTTTTATTTGTATGTTTTTACAAATATCTAGTAAAAAGTTGTCAATTTAATTAACAAATTTCTTTTTGGAATTGCTGTTCATCAGCTACTTTCAAATTATGCATTGGCCCGTGTGCAATGTAAGTTTGAGACCACTATTGTAAAGTATCGTTTATGTAACATATCTTCTTGTGTTGTAGCAAAGTGCTATAAAATTCATAGAAGTGAGAAAGATAAGATATTGTATTTTATATTTTTCTTAAGAACAATTTGCTTTGGATGGGGGGGGGAAAAAAAAGGATACATTTGTCGAAGACAGGATTTTATTAATGTGAAGAACGCAAGAAAAAATTGCAGCATACATTTTCTATACAGTGATATCACTTGCTTGGATTGCTGCAAAAGAAGCTGTTAAAATCAAATACATTACCAAAAAAAGAATAATGCAGAGTGCTTTTGATTGAAGACTAAAAGAACTTAAAATTCACTTTGAGGCCGATTACGAAAATGATGCTAGGAATAATAAATTGGATACCATAGATTTTAAAACAGAACTCACGAATGATGATGTAAATATTGCTGAATGCCCTAACTGCAAAAATAAACAAGAATGCATTGATAATTTGTAAAAAAATAAAGCTAGCTCAGCATTTTAGGTAATTTATAATCATATAAAACGTCAACTTAATTTTGCATAAAATGATCTTCCTCCGTCATCCCTTTTTTGAAAGATTAAATAATTCTCTTTATTGTGAGCAAAGTTGTTCTGTTAAACTTAAGACAATGATCATGTATTTATTTAAATGCAATGTATGTGTATAAATGTGAGTATAAGATAGATAATTATTTTTAAAATATCTAATATTATATCAAATCACCAATGTAAAATTATAATAGGTCAAAAAAGCAGTCTTAGATTAGATTAAACTTTGAATAAAACTATCAGTTTAACGGGCACTTGAACATAAGTTCCCCTTTTTTCAGCTTCAGAAAAAAAATTGATATATATATTCAAAACTATGTCAAACTAAATTTTTTTTTTCTCTTTATGGCCTAACTTTGAAAAGCTGTTTTTATGGTTATCTTAGAAAGAGTAATAAAATCCTCTCAGTATGCAGATAAAGAAAAGATAATTAATACCATAGGTTTTCCCTTCAAGATTTAATGATGAATACACAGGGGGAAAACCTGCAACTCTGTATTTTATCAATTATTTTAAAATTAATAAATACAAATTAATTTTTTAAACATTATAAATGCATACAGTAATATTATCTTCTATTCTAAATTAAACCTATTTTTTCACACAGTTTTTTAAGGCTATTTTTTCAAATTTAAAACATTTATTTCTTTGCTATGAATTGTGTCTTGGCAGTAAAGTGTCAACATGATTGCATCTTCACTCCTTAAGTCTTGCATATGAACACTAACATTCTAATTATAGAGTGTTTCAAACATCTTTGAGCCAGGCAGCCAACATGTGTATTAAATTTTCGTAAACTTTGATTAATAATATCATGCACGTCATTTTATTTATTTCAAAGATGTAATGAGTACTCACCTCTATTACAGAAGCTGTTCGAAATGGTGTCCATTTGCGGTCGTAGACACTTAGCCGATACGGACAGAACATTTAACCGACATGAACATTTAGTTGACAAAAACACTTAGCCGACAGGATATTTAGCCAACATGGGCACTTAGCAGACATGGAATTTTGCTGACATTAAGCTGAGAATGAGTTTCGCTCTTCCCAATGCTTTCATATTCAATATATTCACATTTCATTACTACTTTGCTCAAAGTCGTTTCGCTCCTCCCACTAATGAAATTTCCTTTCCCTGTCAGGAAGTAGAGTGACACACTGGAATTACTCATTTTTTTTTTTTTTTTTTTTTCTGAAATTCTGTTTTCACCATCAGAATGCTATTTACACATTAGGCATCGTATATTATCAATCTGGGTTAGGGCTCTGGCCCAACAGGCTTCGCCACCGAGCCTATGGACTGTGCTGTTGAAAAGGATGATAAAAATCTCACGCCCGCTCTGGAGCCCGAGACTGAACCCAAGAATAAAAAACTCCTCCGATTTTTTGCCCAAGACCGGAGCTGAAATGCAGCAATCTAAGAGGTTTTTTTGCCAAAAGCGATGTAAAGAATTATGTAGGAGTTCTGATTAAAGATAAAATAACCTTAATTTTCAACTTTTCGCATTATAGACATGGAGCACTTGCTGTTCTGATGAAATATGAAGTGCAGTTTAGCACATTCTGACCGAAGAAAGATACTCCACTTAAATTAGTGATTCATGGTTTGCCAGATGATACGCCTGCAGATGACATCAAGGCGGAATTAAACAAGAATAGGTTTCCTGTTATCAGTGTATCGCAGTTCACCAGGAAAGTTGACAGTATTGATGTTAAACTCCTGGTTTTCTTCGCTT